ACATTACAATCTCCCTCTAAACATTCGAAATAATATTATGTTTACTTTATTATTATTGCTTGTTTATTTTTATTTTTATTGTTTCTATGAATTTTTTTATCCCTAACTTCTAAACGTTTTCTCCGAATTTTTCTCCCTAACTTCTAGACTCTCTCTAATTCTCCCTAAATACATGAAAAAAGCAAATTTTTTCATCTATCACCGTCAAATTTTACTATATATATATATATATATATATATATATATATATATATATATATATATATATATATATATATTATTTAATTTTTTTAATTTATGGAACTAGTAATTATATTTTTAAATATTTTACTTAACAATTCTTCTACTATAAATTTTAGTGTTCAATATTGTTATAAATTTCTTGTGAAATACTTTTTCTTTTTTGATACTTATTAATAGTATATAAGTAATTAGTATATAATTCTGACCATATTATGGATAAAAATAATAATGCTGAAAATGTTGATGTGGGTGAAGAACTATATACTAAGAAGAAATGATATATTATAATTTATAAATGATAAGAATTGAAATGATTGAAAGTTTGTAAGGATGTATTCAATTTATAATTTTAATTACTTTTGTAGATTTTTTAAAATAAAAAATTTGTTAAAAGTTTATAAATGTTTCTTGTATAGACTTTTACAGAGTATTACAAAATTTTAAAAAGTCAATCAAAATTTATTAAAATTCATCATTTTAAAAGTCTTTAAAAATTTACAAAAGTCAGGATTAAATACACCCCTTGAATGAATATTAATGGGGATCAGATAATGGGTCCACCTTAAGATGACAAATTCGAGGAAAAACGAGATTCAGGTTTGTAATAAATATGACTTTCTTTTTGTGTGGTTATAAATATATAAAATAAATAATAAAATATTTATTATATGGCATCAATATATAAGCTAGGAGCTTATAGCTTATTTTAAACTACTAATAAGCTATAAGCTCTGTTTGGTAATGTTCCCAAAATAAGCTCCTAGCTTAAAATAAGAGCTTATTTTGGAACGCTACTTTAGAAAACGTTTCAAAATAAGCCACTAACTTCCTAACTTTTTTTCCATCTTTACCCTTATTATTTTAAAGTAATGACATATTTTAACCTTATGAATTAAAACTCTTTCTCTTCCCCTATCCCAACTTTCACGTCAATCTCTTCCTTAGTCTTGACTCCTGCTAAACAATTATATTGAAACTTTAGCTTATTATTATTAGTATTATTATTATTATTATTATTATTATTATTATTATTATTATTATTATTATTATTATTAATGTTATTATGGAGATGAAGGGGATTCGCAACAATATTGCTACTTCATTATGGGATGCTAGATCATGATTATGCTAATAGTTTTATTTTAAAAAGTGTTTACTTTTTTTGGAAGACGAAATGTTAAATTTTAATATGTAAACAAACTAATTTAAATTTTATGAAGATGTCCTTTTTAGTCTTTTTACACTTATCAGCTTATCAAAAAGTTAATTTTACCAAACACTTTCAATCATAACAGCTAGCTTAACAGCTCTTCAATTTTCAGTTCCGAGCTTATAGCTTTTCAGCTTTTAGCTCCTTTTCAGCTATCAGCTTCTAGCTTATAGCTTTTCAGCTAGGTTTGCCAAACAGAGCCTATATATACTCCCATTTTATATTTCTATTTCCATTTTCTACTCCTTATAATGTGGCATGCTTTGATTATTTAGGGAGTGTTTGGTAAGTAACTGTTAGCTGTTAGTTGATTGAGTTACTGAGTTTGAGTAGCTGATAATATTAGCTGATTGTAGAAAGATGTTTGGTAAATTAACTCTTAGCTGATAGCTGATTACATGCAAAATGACTTTCTCAAAAAGCTAATTAAAAAAATTGTTTTGGGTAAATTTTTGAATTTTAGCATTTCGGAGCAATTAGTTGTTACAAGCTAATTAATCAAACACTTATATTAAATGTTTAATTAAGTCAAACAACTAATAGTGGTCAAATAAGTTAAAATTGACAGATAAGCTAACTATGTTATCAAACAGGGCCTGATTATAATAGGGGGTCATGATATTTATCAATTTAGTTTTTATCTTCCAATAAAATTTAAACACAAGTGAGAGTAAAAGTTGATAATATGTTTTTAGAGTCGAAGTATAATTTTTAATATATAAAATAGTCAATAAAAAATTAACATTCAAAATGTTACTTGAAAAGTGAAATTCTGTTCAACATCATCATTTTGTTTATCCACACAAGTTTCTTTTATAATGAATTTATTAAGAGTACCCTTTTGAGAATTAGTTAGTTGTTCTATTTGTCTTTTTTTTTTTTTTTTTTTTTTTTTTTTTTTTTTTTTTTTTTTTTTAATTTTTATGAATCTCAAACTCAAATAAATATTTTTTAGAAGAAATAATTACAAGATATAAAATGGATAAATGACAGTTGATGAATAGAGCAAACCAAACTTTTGATTTTAATGGTACTCAATGATCATACAAGAAATTAAATTATACTTTAATTTCACTTGTCTCAAAAATTATTAGGGACAGTTATTTAATTAATAATTTTAAATTTTTAAATAAAAATAAAGAATTAAAATACTTAATTTACATGCTTTGAAAGTTTAAAGATTTCCTTTTGTTATTTTATTGGTTTAATAGGATTATAAAGGCACGAATAACGTACAAGCCTCGTAATCGTTAATTAGTTAGGTTTAAAAGTCACAAAACTAAATTTGACAAATTTGACATTGGGAAGTAAAAGTTAAAATTCGTTAACCTAACAATTTTGGACAATGAATGAGTGCACTATACTAATGCAACTTTAATGTCAATTGAAAGCTAGGTACCATGCCATTATAATGAATGGACTAGAAGTATAATTAACATGTACATTTGAGGGGAGTGGGGCAATCATTATACCATGAATCAAGGTGTATCACTTGACATAGACTACATTTTTAATATATTTTTAGGTATAATTTTAATACACCAAAATTTGTTTTTATAATATACATTATTTGAATACTGAATGTTTATTATAGAATATTTAGTTCACAAATAATGTATTTTTAATATAATGTAAATGAACTTTTATTTATGGTTCATATAACTGTATAACTACCGGGGTTATTGTTGACCGATTTTCTATACAAATCCCATTAGTTGACAAAAAGACTTTCTTTCTTACTTTTCTATTTGGGGCGAAAAGAAATTGGTTCCCACTTTCGTCTTTTTTTCCTTTGAAAGAACCCACTTTCGTCTTGTTCACTTAGCTTTCTTCCACTGCTTGTAATTTTTCAGTTAAATCTTCACAGGTGTTAATTAAGTTAAACTTGGACGAAATTCACGAACTCAAGTCTTGAAACTATAAAAAAAAAAGAATTTTCAAAATAAAAGAAAAAAGAAACTATAAAAAGACAAAACAATCAGTAGTCCCATATATCCACTTCGTAGTTTGTGTCGTCAGAGAATCCAAAACCGCGTCTGTGAGACGGTGTTAGTGTTCGTCAGAGCAGACAAATACAATTGGAAGGTAAAAATTAATATGAGACCCCGTCTTACAGATTTTTGTATGTGAAACAAGTCGAGTCAAGATTAAATGTAATACTTATAATAATAAATGTAATATTAAATTAAGAATAAAATTTTTGTTGAAAAAATAGTATTAAAATGACATTTTAAGTGGTTATTTTGTGATACAATTATTAGCGGGGTTCATTTTTGATTTGGGTCGAATCAAAGTGGATTCGGATTCTTCGTAGTGAGACGAAGAGATTGATATATTGTACGCTCAAAACAGATAATGGGTGAATGAGATATTGATCCTCAAAGTAGACTTATTGAGTTGGAAAAATGAAGGGAAAAAGTGTGATTTTGTCCCACATTGATTTGGAAAGAAGGTTTGTCCCACTATTTATACAAGAGTCTTTTAGAGGCTTATTGAATAGTATAACATAGATGTTCTCTCTTGTGTGCAAGGGGTGTAAATAACTATTAATTTGAATTTTAAATTTGAATTTATGTCCCACAAAATGGCCTTGCTGTTTCAGATGTTAGAAGGCTAGGATTAATGGCCTTGTCGCTATTGCTCTAGTTCGCCGGGTTTGTTCGTTTAGGTGCTCAAATGTTGAATAGTAGTACGTTTTATCCTGGGAAGCCTAGGCCACAACGCTCAGATGTTAGAAGGCTAGGATTAATGGCCTTGTCGCTATTGCTCTAGTTCGCCGGGTTTGTTCGTTTAGGTGCTCAAATGTTGAATAGTAGTACGTTTTATCCTGGGAAGCCTAGGCCACAACGCTCCTAGCACCTTTGGGAGGTGGCAAATAAGGTTTTATCCTGGGAAGCCTGGGCCACAACGCTCCTAACACCTTAAGGGGGTGGCAAATAAGGTTTTAAGGAAAAATGGCACTTGTTGGTTGGAATTGTAATATGGAAGATTACAATTCCATTTTGGTTGATATATATATATATATATATATATATATATATATATATATATATATATATATATATATATATATATATATATAGGGTTGAGTTCAAATGAAGACAACAATATATAGAAGACTGTGAGGACAAATAATGGGCACACAACAAATCAATATCAGGCACACAATTTAATACATAATGGCACACAGGAATACATGTAAACATCAGGTTTCGAACCCAGGCTCTATTAATTAACAAATCTATGCGCGCGACATACAAACTGTGGCACACGACTTCATTCGGCCATGCACACGATATACAGGCTAATGGCACACAATACATTTGTCCTCACAGTCCTCTATAATATACTTGTCCTCATTTGACACTACAAGAAAAATGCACATAGACAACACTAGAAAGACAACGGTTTTTAACAAAAGTGTTATCATTTGTATAAAAGACAACAGTTTGGTCCAAAACTGTTGTCTTTGATGCAACACTTTTGTCAAAGACAACGGTTTTTACTTAACTGTTGTTATAAGTGTGTTGTCTTTGTGCAATTTGAGAAAAGACAACACTTCAACAACAACGGTTTTTAGAAACCGTTGTCTATGTGCGTTTTTTTTTTTTTTTAATTTAAGACAACGATTTTATTTAACCGTTGTCTTTGATATGTTGTCTTTAAGTGTACTTGAATAAACAACACTATAAAGACAACGGTTTTTTAAAACTGTTGTCTTTGCACATTATTATTTTTTAAAAGACAACAGTTTTATTTAACCGTTGTCATTTGTGTGTTGTCTTTAATAGCACTTGAATACACAACACTACAACGACAACGGTTTTATAAAACCGTTGTCGTTGCGTGTTCTTTATTGCTTTAAGACAACGGTTTTATTTAACCGTTGTCTTTGGTATGTTGTCTTTAAGCGTACTTGAATACACAACACTATAAAGACAGCAGTTATAAAAAACCGTTGTCTTTGCACAATATTATTTTATAAAAGACAACGAATTTATTTAACCGTTGTCATTTGTGTGTTGTCTTTAATAGCACTTGAATACACAATACTACAAGGACAACGGTTTTATAAAACCGTTGTCGTTGCACAATCTATTTTTAATTGAAGACAACAGTTTTATTTAGCCGTTGTCTTTAAGCGTACTTGAATACACAACACTACAAAGACAACGGTTATTTATAACCGTTGTCTTTGCGCATTATTATTTTATAAAAGACAACAGTTGTATAAAATAAAGAAAAGGATGTTACTAGCAAGAGTCAAACCTATAACTTCTAACATAACAAACAAAGCTTAACCAACTAAGCAACACCAACCCTTATGTTTTAAAGCGCAACATCTTGTATATAACCGAGTTACTTCTGTGTTGTCTCTGAAAACCAAGACAACAGTTTTATAAGAAATGCCTCCAAGAAGAATAAAACTCGAGACCTCTAACATAACAACCAATTAAGGCTAAACCCACCAAGCCACATCAACCCTTATGTATTTAAGCGCAACAACTAGGATATAACCGGGCTGCTTCTGTGTTGTCTTTGAGAACCAAGACAACAATTTTATAAAATAGGTTAAAGATGCTGTAGACACAGAAAATTTGAACACGACAAGTGGACTGATAAAATTGTTATTGGGCCAATATTGAAATTGTTATTGGGCCAATTTAATTAATTGGATCATAGAAATTAAATTGATTTAATTAGTCCAATTAAATTTGATTTGGGCTATTGAATTAATTAATTAATTGGTACAAGCACATTTCATATTTGAATTTGAATTATAATTATAATTTAAATATAAGGGAAAATGGCACTTTTTACCCCTGAGTTATATACTTATAGCACTTTTTCCCCTTCAATTATTTAGGTAAGCACATTAGCCCCCTCAATTATTCTAAAAGTGGTGCTTTTTCCCCCCTGATATATTAAATTGACATTTATACCCTTAAAGTAAACATTTTATTTATTTTACTACTCCAACAAATTATTGCGTATACGTAGGGATGATCATGGTTCGGTTTGAATTGAACCGGATACTAAAGCAATCGAATTAATAGTTTACGGTTATAATTCAGATCTAGAACCCAATATTTAAATGTCAATTTATTAAAATTATGTATCAAAAAAATTGAATCTTAAACCGTTAACCGGCGGTTCCGGATCTGATTCGCGATTTTGAACCGTCTTTATTTTAAAATTTTATTTTTTATTTTAAAATAGTCTAAATTCAACAATAAATGTATTTTATTTTTTCAGTTCGGAACATGAACCGTCTGTTCCGGTTCACGATTTTAATAAACTCTAAATATCGAATTTCGATTCTAAATTGTAATTGGAATATTTCGGTTTGTTTAGTTTGAACCAAATTATGGTCATAATTTGTTGGAGAAAAAAAATAAATTAAATATTTAGTTTAAGGGTAAATATGTCCATTTAACATTTCAAGGGAAAAAACAGCCACTTCAATAATTTAGGGGGAAAAAATGCTATAGGTATATAACTCAGGGGGAAAAAAGTGCCATTTTCCCTAAATATAATATAATTTTATTATATTTGAATTAGGTTATGCAATAATGAACCTAGACTTGCCCAGACTTGAGAGATCGGTTAGGCACAACTTAGGTTTTGAAGATCTTGAAGCGAAATTTTGTGAAATATATACAAAGTTTAATTTTTGTGTTTACAGATGCCACCAGGAAGGATAGAACTCGAGACGTCTAACATAACAAATAAGGTTAAACCCACCAAGCCACACCAACTCTTCGGCGTGTCCAGCCGGCCACCTCAGTCCTTGGCGTGGGCAGGCAGGGTGGTGCGCCCCCGGGCACTTCAACCGTGCCCCTAGTCCTAAGGGGGTGCGACGCGGTGCGGTGTGGTGTTCAGAATGGGCTTCAAAAGCACGAGCCCACCCCGCCATTTTGACGGCTCTACTTCTGGGTAGCGCATGACTAACAAGGTTAGCTATATGTTGGTAATCGACTCTTCCGGCATGCATGGGACACGTGGAGAATGAATATAAAAGTGTAGTTGATGTCGTACAGTAAGCTAAAGTCCATTCACAATTATTGAATCTCTATATTCCTAATTACATAACTATATATATTCATAATTATGAACAGTTTTGAAACCGTGTCTACCTTGCAAGGTGGACAAGGTTCTACGGTATAATTTGACCCCGTTATGTACCTATATATTCAGTTTATGGTGGACCGGGTACCTATAAAACCATGAATATACTTATTTAATTTTTTTAAAAAATAAAGACTTATTATAAAATAAAAATAAAATTTTTGTTATTTTGCTTATTATATTAAATATATATGTTATTCTTTAAATTTTGAGTTTCAAGACTTGCACAGTTTGCAAAAAATTTTCTTACCTCTCAAATAAAATAATTCCCTCTTTGTAAATTTTGATTTTATTTTGTTATTGCTTAAGCGGGAAAGAAGAAATTAAAACAAAAACAAACACTTCAACTCAAAACCCTTTCCGTCGAGAAGACCAGCGCAAAACACTGCCTCGCCGCCTCCAACTTCCGGCACCGTCGCCGCCGTGATAGACAGTAGAGCGTTGTGCGGCGGTGATAGACAGTAGGGCATTGTGCGGCGGTGATAGACAGTAGGGCGTTGTGCGGCGGTGATAGACAGCGGCGGTCACGCGGAAGTTCACCCAACGACGGTAATTTCTTTTTCAATTTTTTTTCCTGAGCTTTGTGCATTGTTTGATAGGCAGTGGCGGTGATAGACAGTAGATGATGGATTTTGGGTTTGGGTTCAAACTAAATTTGTGCGTTGTTTCCCCAGCTGTTGTTCGTCTGACGGTTATGATTGAGCTGTTGTTCGTCTGACCGGAGGCTGTTCGGTTGATGGTGATGATGATTTCTTTATCCCTATCTTTACACTGAACATTCAAATTACTCACAGCTGAACATGTAAATCTATGTTTAATAAGCTTTAAACTGAACATTTATACTATTGTGTTTGTTGTGTATTGGTTCATTTATCCCCAGAATCTTAACATTCAAAGCTTCTTGTGAGTGCAATTTACATTATGGTTCAAGTGTAATAATTTTTACCAGGCATGCCTTCCTTATAACATTGGAGACTAAGGTCATGTATTTCTTCCTCTGACAAGAACAGAATAATCTAAAACATTGGCAAGAGTAAACAAATATTGTAGCAAAATATAAAATGCCATATCTGATAGATCTTTTCTTATTAAGAATCAGTAAATATTAGATGATAAATCCCAATTATATTATGCTAAAAAAATTTCACAGCATGAGGTCAGTGATTGATCGGTACAAGAAAGTATAGGGTAGTTACCCTACACAAATGTGGACGATGGGAAGCTCGAATGGGGCAATTTCTTGGCAAGAAGTAAGATTCTATTAGCTTCATTGTTGGTTAAAATGGATATCCATTTACATTATATAGCATTGTTAATAAACTGAGGAGTACATGTTCTTATTGGTTAGCATATAACATTTGGATGCAGGTATATCTACCTTGGACTGTTTGACAGTGAGATAGAAGCTGCAAGGTCCTATTATCATAAGTTCACTATTTTCTCCTATATGTTATATAATCCAGCCTGAACATAACATTTCTTGAACTTAGTTGACTTGGAATTTGGTTTTGATTTTGATCAGGGCATAGGATAAGGCCGCCATAAAATTAAGTGGGAGGGAAGCTGTGACGAATTTTGAACTAAGCGCATATGAACAAGAGTTGACTTCTGAAGTTGATACTGGAGGTAAAGGTTCTTTACAACATCCCTCATTGGTAATCCTTGTTGAACATATCCATTAATAGGAACCTGGCATTTCATGCAGGTGGCAGCCAAGATTTGGATTTGCATTTGGGCATTGCTCCTACTAGTTTTGTAGATGGCATGGGAACCCACGCTCTAGTTGCAAAGTGGTTTAGCCAGTCCAAAGCATTGGGGAGTGGGGGTAAGTTGAAGGGCTTTGATTTAAAACTTTATCTCATTCTATGCAACTCTTTTCATATTTCTGCTCTTTTCCTTTCCATCTTAATTTTTTAATTGGTTTGTATTAGATAGTGCATTGAAACACTAAATTCTTCTCGGTGTTGTAACCGGTTTAAATTGTCCTCCTTCGTATGCAGACCTCTGCTTCAAATACAGTGGAACCTGAACTATTACCACATGGCTTTGAATTGCTTTCTGAGCATCCTCCTATCTGCAATGGAGTAAATACTCAATTCTTTCCCATTTACAAGGTATCCCACTATCCCCTTGTCTAGCATGGTTTGAAGCATACTACAAGATTTCCATACATTTGACTGTCATTATTTTTTACTCTCTAGACAATTCATTCTTCTCTTGCTCCTCCTGCTAATGTTCTAGGCCTACACTACTTTGAAATCTTTAAAGGAGTTAGTAACACCTGAGCTCTGTGCAAAAATCATTTGAATGTATACATATTGAACCAATTGTTTAGTGAGTTATTACCTTTCACCTCTGTGCGAAAATCATACTGGTCCCAATGAACTCTCTCTTATGGGAAAATATCTTTTCTATGGCAACTATTGTTA